ACATCATCATTTACCCAGAATGCTTTGCATGTAAATAAAATGGCCCCGTCCATGTAATATATTTTTAAACTTATAGTTTAAAAATGATAAAAACTGAACATCCTACAGTATTTTTAGTCTTTATTTTATAGTTAAAATATATGTTTATTAAATAAAGTCTAATGTTATAACTAATCCTTTAAGAATATTTCTGTTTTTCACAGTTCAACCAATATTTTTTCAACTCAGATTTTAGTGTTTTTGTGTGGTTTTAGGTCTGCTGTGTTGATACAGTAGGTCAGAAATWAAAAGATTACTTCATTCAAACATGGGAAGTTATGCTGAACAAAATGACACCAAACACAGCAGGTTAAACCGTTTTTAAAGTGAAATATGAAGTAAAACCAAAATAAAATGTCAGTTTTATCATTTTTGAGTAAGCGTGCAGTAAAACCAATTATTATCTCTCTTAAAGATTTAAGTTCTCTGGCATAAAGCATAAAAACGGAGCCTGTGGTACCTGGTGGCCTCCAGTTTCTGCTGCTCCAGCCGCTGCTGGGTCTCCCAGTTTACCCGCTCCTCCTCGAAGACGCGCCTCTTCTCCTCCAGCTCCTTGTACTGAGCCTCCAGGTTCTTCTTCATCTGCTCGTGGCGCCGCTGAAGCTGTGTGTGAAACAGGAGACAGGAGGCTGAAGGTTTACTCTGAGGTTTAAACATTACATACTTCTCAGTTTTTATTCTTTGTATCATTAGTTAAATCTGCAGCTTCACACTCAGTTCATGTTATTTTCATTCTGTTTTTTGTTAAAGTCTGGCTTCAGGCGACAGAAAAACCTGAACATCAATTACAGTTAATTAAACACGTATTCCTTTAACCACAAACACGTCAGCACAACAGGAAGTGAAGCAACGTTTTGTGTGTATGTGYGTGTGTTACCTCTGCTTCAGAGTCTCTGAGCTTCTGCACTTTTTCCTTGACTTTCATCTCGAACACCTGCTCCATCTCCATCTCCATCTTCTTCATTTTAGCCACGTGCTCTCGCCGCTCCTCCTCCATCTGGGCCAGAGGACTCCTGTGGAGGAGCCACGTGAGCGTGCACGTGGAGCGAGCAGACACAGGTTAGAGAAAAAATAAATAAAAATGTTTAAAAAAAAGGATGAGCTCGACCTTTTGGGCAGGTCTGCTCTGCCAACAGGAAGTTCTCAGAGAAGAGAGGAAGTGAAAGGTTCTGAAAAACATCAACCTGCTTCAAACACCTGGAGAAGTTCAGCCAAAGACCCACAGACCAACTGATCCAGGATTATAGTTTTTCTAAAGACCCGCTCCGTTTTTTTTCCCCTTTATTTCCTGATCCCTGCGTTTGTTTACATCTTTCCCTCTCTTGTTCCTGGTCTGTTGGTCTTCTTGGAGAGTTCCTGACAGACCGACCATCAGAGGGGGACCTGATCCTGGTTCTGCTCTGCACCTGCCTGATCCAAAAACAGCCTGTAAYGTTTACATAATGATGTGTTCAGGTTTAACTAAAATCCTCTATTTTTCTTCTTCACGTTCTTTGAGACGCATCTCGTTCTGCAATTTTTGTGCCGTTTCAAAAATGTTTGCATCAAAACGTTCGGCTCCTTCAGCACATTTTGTCGTTTGTTATTTCAGCAATTTATACTTTTTGAGATATTTAGCTTTTTCTGCCATTTTTTTTTGGAAATTAATGGAATTCCAGTCAAAATAAATAAAACCTTTAAAATGTTTATAAACTTTTACTAAACTTCACTTTGTGTTCTGCTTTAACGTCTTTGTGCTAAGTTCAGCTTGTTTTTTGTTCTTGCTAATTTTAGCTTTCTTTTCTTTTTATCTCCTCTGATTTAAACCTTTCAGCACTTCTATCAGCTTCTGTTAATTTAAGCTTCTTATATTTCTTTCAGCTACTTTCTGCAATTTAAGCTATTTTTAAGCTATTTCAGCTCATTTTTGTGTTTTTCAGCTAAATTAACCTTTTTGTAATCATTTTAATTCTTGCAGCTTAATTCAGCAAATGTGCTCTTTTTGCTTCTTTTTGCTAGGTTCAACTTTAACTACTTTTATTTTTTGCCAATTTTCAGCTAATTTCAAGTTTTTATATTTCTTTCAGCTACTTTCTGCAATTTAAGCTATTTTTTAATCAATTTCAGCTAATTTTTGTGTTTTTCAGCTAAATTAACCTTTTTGTAATTATTCTAATTCTTGCAGCTTAATTCAGCAGATGTGCTCTTTTTGCTTCTTTGTGTTAGAATTAGCTTTTCAGCTACCTTTTTTTAGCTACTCTTCAGCTAATTTCAACTTTTTTGGCTATTTTACACCAAATTAAAAAATGTATGACCTTTCAGAATTAAGCATTATTAGCTGTATTTTTGAAAAAAAAAAAAAAAAAAAAAAGCTAATTTTTCTAGTTTTAGATGTTTTTATATTAAATATCAGGTAAGATCCTCCTCCTCTGTCACACCAGCCAATTGCATTTCCCTGCTTCTCCTAATCCAACTGTCCTCCTCAGGACAGGTCCAAACTGTCTCTAAACCCGAGCTGTCCCTCTGATGGACTCATGTCTAACTTTCCCCAGTGAAAACATCCTGTCCTTTGAGTCCAGCGTTACTCCTCACAGCTTCCCTGTCCCACTGTTTGTCTCACTCCTTCACCTCTCCAGCCTCTCTTCCACCTGCTCCCAGCGCTCGATGCAGAGCCTGAGCCTCCTACACACCTCACCATCACTCTGATCGACACAAACACGTCTACTGTCCTTTAAAACAAATAAAAACAGGAAGTGGACTCTAGAATCAAGCTCGGCTCTCATGCTGTTTATAAAACACACCAGACGGGAGGAGCAGGAGGGAACTAAAGGTGCAGCTTTAGGAACGACTGAACCCAACGAGGAATCGGAGCAGGAAACACCACCGGGTAGTTCTCAGACATAGAAGCTGCTGTTAGTGAAGGATTGTTAAATGTTAGTGAAGCTCGTCCAGGAGGTGGTTAGGCTTACAGTGATCAGAATAAAAAAAAAAAACCTTGCTGTAGGAAAATTAAAGAAAAAATAACTGTAGCACCTCAGGATTGGAAAACCCAAAATATCTGAGAAAATCTGAAAACACGACGACGAGAAGTGAGGAGAAAACATCGGAACACCACGACTGCGGGGAAAAGGAAGGAGGATGCTCAGATCTTAAACAAAATGCAAAAAATAAACCAAAAATATCACTTACATTCCTTCAACTGTGTCAAGTCTAAAAAACAAAAACACACACAGACACACACACAGCATGCAATGAGCTCATGCACTAAAATGAAAACATTATTAAATGTATTAATCTGCATTTGAACATAAACTCAGATCTTCAGGTGTGTTAGAATCAGCAGTGACGAGTTAGACGTTAGCTTTGATTCATTAGAAGCAACATCTGGTTTTAAATGATAAGTTTTTTATGCCAAGCAACAAATAAACATTTCCAACATCAAAGGAATAAAATGTTTTACCTGGAACTCAAAATACTTCAAAGAATTTTTAAACAAAAACATACGGCTTTAATTAAAACGACCAGATGGAGTATTTTTAGCTGTGCGTTAATTATTCAAGCAAAAATAATGAAATTTTACTTTTTTCCATCTTCTTCATGGTTTTATTTATAAAACCTGCATCAGCTGCATCAAAACGTTCAATGAAGGAGAATTTATTAAACGTATCGTTATTGTAGGCTTTAAAATGGAGCATTTTAGAGAACAGGACAGAGGGACTCTGCAGATCAATGTGGCAAATTAAACTGCCTTTTAGACAAATTATTGTATTTATAAATAAAGTTTATACAGATTATTATATTTACACTGATCTACAGGCATTTTTTCTGGCTCTTGGACACATTTAAATCTTATATAAAAGAAAATTTTCTGTATAAAAAGAAAAAAGGAAGAGGTTTGATTAATTTAATCTAAATCACTTCTCTGAAAAAACTCACGTTTAAGCATTTTATGAACAACAAAGTTCATTCTGTATATTTATAAATAAAACACGAAAAAAGAAATAAAATATTAAGTCTAGTTATGTTTTTTTAGTGATTCTACTCAAACCAAATGAACTAAAACAATATTTTTAAATTACCTGCAAACAAAACCGAGCTTTAAGATAAAAACATTTATCATTAATAAACTCATCCTTSTATAAACAACATCTGCCGGCTCTAYTGGACCCACGTCAGGACTTACTTGGTGGACAGCTGTCCTTTAGCTTTGTTGTTGTCCACTCCGTTGTAGGTGACGGCGGCCAGCTTCCTGCTCCGGTAGTTCTCATAGTGGACGTTGTTCGTCACGTCCTTCAGGTCCTGCATGTGAGTTCTGAGGAGGGAAAATATACGACGTTTAATTAAAGCTTAACTAGAGGAAATGCATTTCCTGTGAAAATGCTAGTGTGAATGCTTCATGCTGAAAACTAAAGCTGAAAGCTGATCAAATTCAGCTGAAAATATTAAACGGCAAATGTGTTAATGCAAATTCAATTTGAAAAGCTGAAGGAGGCCAAAAGACGCCTAACATTGCAGATAAACAGTAAAAAGGAGCAAAAATATAGTTGAAATAGTGGAAAACAGCAAGAAGCTAAAATAGCTGAATATAGCAGAAAACATATGTAAAACGCATAAATATCACAAATTAGCAAAAAAAGCTCAAAAAGTTGAAAAAGCAGAAGAACAGCAGAAAGAAGCAGATCTATAGTTAAAATTAGCATAAAATAAGCTAAAGGTAGCAGCCACAAGTTGTAATTAACACACAGACAGTGAAAGTTTTGTAGAATAAAATTTAAAATTTGCAGAAAAATTTGCATCAAAAAAGTAACAATTTGTAGTAAAATAGCTAAAACAGCTGAACTTTTCTGTAAAACAGCTAAAATGTAGCTGGAAATTCTGTCATTAGCATAAGGACTACAAGTTTGCTGAACTGAGCAGAAATAAATTGYAATAGTTTTAAAAAATGTGTATTTAGCTTAAAAAGGCTAACTTTAGTTAATAACAGCTGAACATTAGCTAAATTTGCAGCAAATAGCTGAATATAGCTGAAAGCATCTGTAAGAAGCATAAATAGCACAAATTAGCGGAGAAATGCACAAAAAGTAGGAAAAAGCAAAAAATTAGCAGAAAAAAGCAGAACTATAATTACAACAGAAGAAAAAAAGCTAAAATTAGCATAAATAAGCTAAGGGTAGCAGACACAAGTTGTAATTTGCATCCAGATGGTGAAAGTGCCATAAAAAGTTTATAAATAGCAGAAAAAAGCACAAAAGTACTAAAAAAATGACAATTTTTAGTAAAGCAGTTAAAATGTCGCTGGATTTTTTAAATTAGCATAAAGAAATGTAAGAAAAATATGCGTTGTTCAAAATGGTATGTCTGAATAAAACAGGAATCTGCTGGATTTCTTCTTTAAAACTTTATTTTCAATCTTCTGACTCCAGTCAGGTTCACACAGCAGTCAGGTTCACACAGCAGTCAGGTTCACACAGCACCTTGGGCTGAATGAAAACACAAACAGGAGCTCTGCTCTGAGCAGACACTCTGCAAAAACACTGACAACTCCTTCTACCATCATAATGAATTAACCTTATAATGTTCATCTCTTCCTGGTTACACCTCAGGGGGTGTTTTGTTACCTTTTATGTCAGGATGTAACTCAGTTGTGTTTAGAATAAAGAAAGAACACACAACACACAACAACTCTTTGTCTGCTTTAACTTTAAGGCTGAAATGATCAGAAAGTATAAAACACAAAACTGCATCTAACATTCAGTTAATCAGTTACAAAATTTCCTKCAGAAGCATAAAGAGCACAAGTTTGCCTAACTTAGAAGAAATAAGTTTCAAKAGCTACAAAAAATGTTTATTTAGCTTAAAACAGCTAACTTCAGATAATAACGTGTGAACTTTAGTTAAAATTGCGGAAAATTGCTGAATATAGCAAAAAGCATCTGTAAGAAGCACAAATTAGCAGAAAAAAGTAGAAAAATGCAGAAAGAAGCAGAATTTTAGCTGAATTAGCAGGAAAAAAAGCTAAAATTAGCAACAAAAAAAAAAAAAAGGGGGTAGCTAAAATTGGCAAAAGAAAGGGAAATAGCAGAACCAGAACAAAATGTGTCAGGTTCTGTAAAGCAGTGTTTYCCAAAGTTGGGGTCGGGACCCAAAGTGGGGTCTCGAAACATCAAGATGGGGTCCTGAAAAGATTTTCTGAATTAATTACATTTTTGCCTTAATTGTTACAAAGGAGTGAGGTTAGTGTATTTAAAATGGATAAATGTTGTATAAAAATATTGTTACTATGCCCATGTTTTTGTTGACCTGATACAAATGTTTATCATCCAAAAATATTTGTGGACACAGGTCTCTGCTACTGTTATTTTGTGGGTCAAAAGCTGAAAAGTTTGAGAACCACTGCACTTTGTTTCCCAAAGTTGGGCTTGGGACCCAATTATGGGTCATGAAGCACCTTGGATAATCTCCAGAAATCAATTTAAAGGGTAATAAAATAATTGCTGATGTAATATTTTCCCTGTAATTATTACAAAAACACAAAATAAGTATAGATAAGTATTTATATTTGTGTACAAGCYGTTTAGATTGTCAAAAAGCCTGTGTTTTTAGGGTTATTAACAAAGTTTGTGTACTCAGACCAGTAATATTTGGGGTCACAAGTTTTTGCCATGGATATTTTGTGGGTCAGAAGATAAAAAGTTTGGGAACCACTGCTGTAAAGAATTAGAAACATTTKAAATGACTTTAAGGATGTTGAAAACAGCTCCATTCTTTTTCAATGGCAAAAAAGTGGCTAAAAACGTGAAATAGATGAAAAAGTATAAACAGCAGAAATACCAAAAGTCATAGCAGGATTGTCATAAATGAGCTGAACATTTATGAATTGTTGAAATGGAACAAAAACTGTGGAAGGAGTTAGACGCCGAAAAACAAAGAAAAAAATGATCTGAGTTGTGTGAATGACGGTGAAGCATTTACACAATTACAGTTTCTTAAAAGTCCAGATGAGAGGAAACAGATTAGTTGTGTTTGTAGGTACCTGATCAGCATGTCCCTGAGGATGGTGAAGTCACAATGATCGCTGTTTTCCACTACAAAACAAAAACAAAACAAGTTAAATCAAATGTTATATTTTAATAAAATGAGCCGTTCAGCTCGACATCTTCGTACCTTCTGCGACACCCCAGGGGTACTGCCTTCCTCTCACCCTCTTCCCGTTCACCTCGATGATGGTGTTGCTTCCCACCACAGCGAGCGGCAGCTTGTCCTGGCCACAAGAACCAGACATTACGACACGAAAAAAACAAACAAACAAACAAAAAAAAAACACACAACCCCCACCCCCCCAAAAACAAACAAACAAACAAACAAACAAACAAAAAAAAACGAAGGCGAGTCGTCAAACTGCATACTTTAATCTTCTTCACCAGCCTGTTCTCCTCTTCGTCGTCCGTCTCGGGAAACTCGTAGATCTTGATTTTGTGCTCTTGGATTTCTCGCATGATCTACRAAGGAGAGGAGATGCTTGAAGGTGTGTTCAAATTAAATGTTTTACAAACTAAAAATTCAAATCAACTTCATCTTTGTTGATACAAATGAAAAGTTTTGACTTTCGGTTTTGTTCAAATTAGTTTTAATGTTCTAGTTGAAAAACTGAATTCAAACGCAGCTTGAAGTGAACACGACAGAAGAGGATAAAAATAAAAAGTCATAAAAACAAACTTCCTTCAGTGTGTTCTGTATTTGGTCTGGTTTTGTTATGAGTAACATTGTGATCATACCAATGAGCGGTGCAAAGAGAAGAGAAAAAAAAGAAAACGAGAAACGCCCTCTGAGATCTTTCCCCCTGCAGCTGTGGAAACCACTGACCTGCTTCTTGAACTGTTGGCATTCCTCCGGGGTGAGAGTGTCTGCTTTGGCGATCATCGGGATGACATTGACTTTCTCATGCAACCGTTTCATGAACTCGATGTCCAGAGGCTTCAGTCTGCAGAGAGAAAACAATGAAAGCTCAGCGGACGACACACACATCAGCTCCTTACCAAACACTCACGGGGAGTTTCATTTGGCCCTTTTGGAGGATTAAATGGGATATTTATGGATTATTATGGGTGTAGATTTGATGACAGCTTCTCGGTGAGCTGCGTCTCAGACAGGACAAAGATAAAACTGAGCTAAAAATAGAAACCTGAGAAGCCCGACTGATGTTTGATATGTCTAAAAAACAACCTTAAAGTTGTGAGAAAACAGTTATCTGCGGCTGGAWGAGGAGAGTTTTTAATAAACACAAAGATTATCTGAATTTATCTGAAAGAGCAGCAACAATAAAATTAACTGATGCCTCATAGAAACATTTTGAAGATAGCAACACTTTATCTCATCATAAAACCACAGAACTACAATAAACACATAAATGTTGTTTAATATTTATKTTCCAGACCTGGATGGTCTGACAGTATCTGACTTTACTGAGCGATAAACCGCAAAACAACATGAACAACTCCTGCACACTTCGTCCTGTTTTAGCTGCTCTTATAATAAAATCCTTTGGCTCATTCAGGAGATGGGTGCTACAGTTCGTTTTTTACTTTTCAAAATATTTCACCATTTATTCTTGTGCTACTTTTAGCCTCTAGCTTGTATGTTGCTGCTTTTAGCTACCGTTCTACTGATTTTATCAACTGTTATGCTACTTTTAGCTTTGCTATGGCTTTTAGCAACAATTGTCCTACTGCTACTTTGAGCTTGAAACTCATGTTCTGTTTCTTTTAGCTACTATTATGCTAGTTTTAGCTTTTAACTACCGTTCGACCACTTCCAGCTTTTAGCTAAGTTCTACTACTTTTAGCTTTCATGCTATTTTTAGTTTTCAACCACCTTTATGCTACTTTCAGCTTTCTGATAAAGTTCTGCTCCTTTTAGGTACAATTCTGCTACTAATAGGTTTTAACCACTGTTCTGGTACTTTTAGCTTTTAGCTACAGTTTTGCTATGTTTRGCTTTTGAACACTATTGTGCTACTTTAAGCTTTTAAACATTGTTCTGCTACTTTTAGCTTTTAGCAACAGTTTTTCTACTTTTACCTAAACTTTTTTTCCTCAACTGTAGCTGGACTTCGGTTATTTTTAGCTAGCATTTAGCTACTTTTAGCTTCACYGACTCAGTTCCAGTTTTTTCAGTAAATTCCAGCGGTCATTCATCGATCTTGCTGCATTTTGGTTTTGTCTGACAGTGTAAAGTTCAGCTGATGTGTGAATATCTGCAGCTTGCCCGTCCTTCACCTCAGATAAACCAGAACAATTCAGATTTGATGAGCTAAAAACAAGCCGAAGAGCTGCCAGCTTTAATTAGACACGTCTCAGACTGATGTCTTCACTCAGAACCAGTCAAGCCCAAACAGGTCCGTTTTAAAAAACTGGAGTCAAACAGACACACAGGTACACAGTGCGTTAGAAATTAAATAACTTTTTCAACAAGAGATAAGACACTTGTTTATGTAAAAACTGACTTRAACTAACACAAAGTGACAGTTCAACAAATTCAACTAAAATATGATTCAGACACGCCGAGTAAAATATGTCTAAATAAGAAATGTGCCGTCAAGATTTAATTACTTTCTTCTCTTTTCCAGAAATAGCAAGTATTTAATACATAATGTATCTAGCACGCGTTACTATAATATCATGATTCATGACCTAAATAAGAGAAAATGTTTGCAAAAACKACCTTTTTCTTTGACAATAAGTTCGTTCCATCAGCTAAATAAACACAAACTATTACATTAGATGTTTTAATACTATTTTATGGTTAACCTAACACCATTCAAAGCCTACATATATTACTAAAGTTTGGACTAAGAGATCTAAATCAAACATTAAATCTCAGGATTTTAAGACTGACTAAAATAATGCTATGCTAACATGCTAACAAACTGGTTAAATGTTGGGTTTATCTACAGTCTAATCGTTTGGTTTTAAATCAGCTGTTCCTTGAAAATAAATTAGGATTCAAATTAAATTCCTGATTAAATACTATTAGGCACATTTTATTGTGTAAAACAACAATAACAGCTTTATTTGTTTTTTATTTGTTTTGTTTGATTGTGAAATGTTAGCTCACACAAACAAATCAGAGTCAAGCTGCTGCTCTCTCAATAAAAATAAATGAATCAATCAAACATGGTGTACCACAGAGCCTCACATTAAGTCCACACCCCCACGCCTTTAAAACCAGAAAGAAAAGTATTTGTGCAGCAGGAGCAGCAGCCGGCGGTCGATGTGCTGCTGTGTGAGCGTCCGGTGCCCATCCTGAAGGCTAAAGTAACAAACAAACACAGCACCCATATAAATCTGACAGAAAGAAGCACGAGGGCAGAAGAGAACAGCGTCTTCTTCACTGTTTACAGCCTCTGATGAAGGGCATGTGAACAAGGCAGCGAGCGATTTAACTTAACATAAAAAACGAGCAGAAAAATAAAAACAACATGGGGAGTTTGTCTAATTACATGACCTCAGTGAGTGTTGTTATATCTGTCGCTCAAGACGGTTAAATAWAAACTAGAAAAACTGAATTTTATCTGTTAAATCAATTTACTGAAATCTCCTGAAGAAGCTGAAACTGACTTAAGCTAAAAAGGCAAAACTCTAGTTTAAAGTCAAAAGTGGGAAAGTGCCAATTTAAAGCAACAAAAGGCTAACTAACAAAGCTAATAGTAACAAAAAGCTAATTACAAACTAAAAGCATCAATAGTGAGCTAAAAGCAAAATTTAGTAAGTCTAGCTAAAAAGTTAACATATACTAGTTTCTAACTATATACTTGTTAGAAGCTAAAAGTAGCAAAAGGACCGGCAAAAATATGAAAGTAGCAAAAGGCTAAAATTTGTGAAAGGCTAACTAAAAAGTTAACGTAACAAAAATACTATTTAAGAGCTAAAAGTAGCAAAAGSYTGGCTAAAATATGAAAGCAACAGAAGTTTGGCTTAAAAGTGAAATTAGAAGAATTGTAGCTAAAAGCTAGAAGTAGCAAAAACAAGGTAAAAGTAGCAAAGGTTTGGCTAAAAGCTGAAAGTAGAAAAAGACTAGCTTAAGGCTAAAATTAGTGATAAGATAGCTAAAAAGCTTTTTTTTTAAATCAAATTACTAGTTAGTAGCCAAAAGTAGCAAAAGGCTGGCTACAATATGAAAGTAACAGAAGTTTGGCTTGAAGCTGAAATTAGAAGAATTGTAGCTAAAAGCTAGAAGTAGCAAAAAACAATGTAAAAGTAGCAAAAGTCTGGCTAAAAATTAAAAGTGTCTAAAGGCTATTTAGGTATCAAATGGTTAATCAAAAGTATTTACGCCTAGCTAGAAGCTAAATGTAGCAGAATGCAACCTTGTAGCTAAAAGTAATAAATTGTTAGCTAAAGCTAAATACAGCAAAGGTCAAAAAGACAAAAATATCCTAAGTAATGCTGAAACACAGCGAGCCACTTACTTAAAAATAAAATCTGAGCAGAAAAACAAAACAGCACTGGGAGATTTTCTGAGGTTTAAAGCTGCTGTTTTAATGTGAAATAAACTTATTTACATGACTCCAGATCACTGTTTCATACAGGAAGGAAGTGAACACTGAAGATTGTCAGTTTCTGCTCCTAAACTTGACTGGAAACTGAACAATTTCGCTTCTTAAAACAAAAAAACAAAAAAAGTGAGACGAGCCCACTGGAGCCGTCTGTAAACGAACAGATCTGACTAACATCATATTTAAAATTCCACGCGGTCATTTGTTTTATGAAACACTTGGCCATCGGTATCATCTGSTTGGTATGTTTCCAGCTCGATGAAACCCTACTCCCCTCGTTTGCACTCTGTTAGAAGACACAAGCTTTAACCCTTTCTCTGCAGGCAAACCGACAGCCTGACGTCTTTAAAGGGCCTGTGACATCAGATTTTTGTATAAACATGAACGCATTTTTGGAAAGAGRACATTGATAAAATATTGCAAAWCAAATTTCACCCCGCTGAGGTGAACAGTTGTTGAGATATTTGCGTGTGAAGTAACAGGAAGTGATGTCAGTAAACAGAGCCTTGTTACAACAGCCAACAACAGAGACTGTACAGAAGAATCTGATGTTTCTTTAGATTATTTTGAGTCTCTATGAGAGAGATGAAGAAGAGTTAAAGTTTAAATAATATTATTTTAATAAAGACCAGAGGTTTATTTTTTAAAGAGTTCCCCTTTGATGTCACTTCCTGTTTCACCTTGGCTGAGCCAAATCCAAAAAATAGGCCAGTTATGAGACAAAATGTGTAAAAACATGTGTATTATACCTATTTTCTTAAGAATAAAGATGGTTTCTTTGACTTTTTGTCTTTAAAGGATAGGTGTGTCACAGGCACTTTAAGACNCTGTACAGAAGAATCTGATGTTTCTTTAGATTATTTTGAGTCTCTATGAGAGAGACGAAGAAGAGTTAAAGTTTAAATAATATTGTTTTAATAAAGACCGGAGGTTTATTTATTAAAGAGTTCCCCTTTGATGTCACTTCCTGTTTCACCTTGGCTGAGCCAAATTCAAAAGAAAATAGGCCAGTTATGAGAAAAAATGTGTAAAAACGTGTTTTATACCTATTTTCTTAAGAATAAAGATGTTTTCTTTGACTTTTTGTCTTTAAAGGATAGGTGTGTCACAGGCACTTTAAGACTTTGTTYAGGACAAGTTGTTGAAGCGTTTCACCATCTGAAACGATGAAAGACCACAACACAGACTAGATTCTGATTCCTCAGGCTGAACTCGTCACCTTTACTTCTGTGACCTTTGCGCCACAAATGGCCCTGCATTCCCCTTTACTCGTTTCTCAACTCATTTCCTGTCACTGTTTTCACACCCTCTCTCTCCTCCCAGCCTTTTCCTCTCTCTCTCTAACATCGTTTGCTTCCTTTACATCCTTCCATTGACGGCCTTTAATTCCACCGTTCCGACGCACAAAGCACTGAAAGTGTTGTCGGCACTCACCCGTGTCCAGAGGGGGCGATGAAGTAAAGGCAGCAGTGGATTCGGCTGTCGGGCATCTGTCGCCTGTTCACGCGTGATTCTGAGTTCAGGTAGTCCTCAAACTTGCTGTCTATGTGGTCGATGATCGGCTGCCAGCTGCAGCAAACAAACACACGCTTTGTTTGAAGGARCGAAAGATAAAAAGGTGACGAAGAACGACGCTGCAGGTCGAGACGGTCCTCACCAGTTGCTGTTGTCCACAGCATCTCCAAACCCCGGAGTGTCGACTATCGTGAGCAGCAGCTGGACACCCCCCTCCTTTATTAACACTTTAGACTGCTCCACCTGAGGAAGACGGGGAAAACCTTTAAGAATGTTTACCTCTGAAAAAGAAAACAATTAAAGGTTTTGCAAGACGCGGATGTCAAAGTGTGAAATCGTTATCCTTGAACGAGGGTATCATTACAGACGGCGTGTCGCAGCAGAAAGCATTTAGCGGCGTGCAGCRRCACGCTCTCTCTGAGCTTTCGGCTAACCGTTCTGAGAAACCGGCGTCAGAGGAGATCAGCGCCGTCATTCACAAATCTGACAGCTGTAGTTAACACGGGAGGACTTAAAAAACACAGGACTGCGTACGAAAATATGAAAAAAATAAACCCACAGGTTCCTTTTTTAACCAACAAAAGCCCAACAATACAAACTTTAAAACCACGTTTTATTCTCCTGACGTCTAATGAGGCTGAACTTTAGAGGCAATAAAGATAATTGTCTTTAAAGTTAACYGAACTAGTTTTCTGACATTTTATTTCAGTGATTTTAAAACTGGTTTATCAGATTTTTAAAGGAAACAGCTCAAAATTCTGACTTCACTTCATTTTTCTTGGCAAACATACATGTTTGGACTGCGGCAGAGATTTTTTTCTTTTCTTTTTTCTCATAATAATTCTGTTTTCAACCAAAGCTATCTGGGGCATTTAAAGAGTTTCCCTCAAGGAAGGAATAAAAGATATATTCAACGGCACTTCTTAAACTTAAAACAACCCGAAGTGTCGTTTAGAACAACGTCACAACTTAAAAAAAGGGAACAAACAATAAAAATCAACCTAAATCAAGTTAAAACMATTGAAATAAGTTAATCTAACCCAGTTTTTGTGTCGGCTCAGAATAAACGGCAGCTGCTGTTTGTCCCAGTAGAGTAACTAGAGCTTCCTGTGGTAAAAACACGTCGCAGTAAACTCTGTTTTCACATAATTTTCCCAAAATCCATCTGTATTTACAGCTGCAGCTGCACTGACTTTATAAATTACTTTGAAACGTTTGATTTGAGTATTAATTCACCGAGATTAACAGATTAGCTTTCTATGGAGCTTTCAGCACTAAGTTAGCATCTATGCTAGCTGTCTGTGGTTACTGGGGTTTTTTTGGGGGTTACCTGTACGGTCTTCTTGATTCTGTGTGAAGGTCCTGGATACTCGGCTGAATACAGGTCTGTTAGGAACAGTGAATTGATCAGAGTCGACTTGCCCAGTCCTGATTCACCTGGAGAAAAAAACAACATATATTAAGAAGACACGTCAGTATTTGAGAACATGCTGACTTGTGGTGTTTTTGCAGAGGTAAAAATGTCAGATTGTAAAGAAGTGCTGAGTTATCTGGAGTAAAATGTTAAAGTTTACTGCTGCCATCGGTGATCAAACGAGGATCATGTGCCTTTCAGGGGATGYGACTGCTGTTTGCCAAAGATATCAATCTGTTTGAGCTGAACAGTTAAAGAAACAATGGCTGTTGTTACGCGTCGCCGACTGGCTGTGTGGTCTAAAGTCTCCTCAAGCTTGACCCATCATTGTGTCCTCTGTTTCCAAGCTCCCAGTGAAAAGAATCATTAGTGGAAATGACCACTGGCACTGCCTGCCTTGGCTGACGGCCAGGAGTCAATATTTAACCAAGCCGTGTTTACAGCAGAGCTACAGTGGAAGYGCACTTCGACATTTTCTCTGAGTATTAAACTCGCTGCGATGCGACGAGCTGAGAGGCTGCAGAAAGAGAGACGCTGAGCAACGTGCGAACAGGCTGCGGGTCACGTGTTTTCGTCGATGTGCCAGCCGCTGACCGATTTCTCTTCCTCCGTTCCTCTTTCACACCCCTCCAGTGACGCATCGCATGTGGGAGCTGTGGGCCTGCAGCTAATCGAAGCCAAGAGCAGACGAATATCGCCTGTGTGTGCGCAGAAACAATGGAGTGTATTTAACTACCAGAAAACCCAGAGGAGCTCCTCTGATGCAGCTTTTATTGTTTTCATTATCATTACTCCAAAAACGAAGCAATGTGTCACAACAACCCAGCAGCTTTCGCACAGAAGAGGAGGAAGCACAATCAAACTGCATTACTGCCCTAATAATTAAAAGAGCAACCAAAACACGCTGTGAACAAAACACAAAGTTCTTCGACGCCTGCGGAGCACAAACTCCACTGGTCCCGCCACAGGAAATGGTTCTGACCCTGGATCACGTTTTCCCTCCAAATAGGGCCATGGAATATGTTGGACCGGAGTCAACAGCCACATCCAAGCATTTCAACAATGTGTGCATTTCTGTGCTGCTGGGTGCAGTCGTAGATAAACCCAAACCAAATGTTTCTCGTCTGTGAGAGCGCGTCAAGGACACGACGGAGATTAAACAGGAGAGGAAATGCAATGCCCAAATCCCCTCCGAGTTAGAAATTAAACACTTAAAGGACGGGGGGTGGGGTGGGGGGGTCTGTCCCCTGAAAGTCTATACGTGTCTTTTAAGAAACCACAGAACAGAACAAAAAAATGTAAACCACAAAGAAAGCAATGACACGATTCAAGCAAAACAAGCGTGAACGGAGTGCTGAGTGGCGTCTTTTTCTTACCCACGACCATCAGGGTGAACTCAAAGCCCCTCTTCACAGACTTCCTGTACACTTGGTTGGGAAGGCTTGCAAAGCCAACATATCCGTCCAGGTTCTTCTGTTGCTGCAAAACAGATTTGTTTTCTTTTTAGACTGAAACCATTAAACAATTTGCATTCCCCTTTTTCTCCACGTTGGGTAAAATGAACCAAGTCAGCCTCAGTGTTGCTCCTGAAACTCTCAAACTATGCAAAAGAAATTCTGAGTTCGCATTAATTAAATATTGTGAATGTGACTAAATATTTTACAAGATGAATAATCTAGAAACAGTGGCGTCGAGTCAGTTTCTGACCCTCAAAATAACAACGTGAAAGACCTGCAACCCCAAATATCCTGGCTGAAGAACAAACATTAAGAATGTTGAGAGCATAATAAAACAAACAGATTAAACTTCTTCTATCTCTGTATCTGTAGGCGGGCTGCCAGGAGAGAAACCCACTCTCCAGCTCCTCCTGAGGGGATCACAAAGTGTTCCCAGGCCAGAGAGGATACATAATCCCTCCAGCGAGTTCTGGGGCCTCTTCCCAGTGGGACATGCCCAGAAAATCTAATCAGATATCAGAAACACCTCAGCTGACTCCTTTCGACGCAGAGGAAGCTCCTTATYCTTTCTCTACAGCGATTTTTGTCATTTATAACTATTACTCTCTTTTATAACAATTAAGGGCTCGACACATGGGGAGCTACAAACGACAGCGATTAACAGCTGTCATCGCAGCCAGGGTGAAACCCGACACACGGGACGCAATAGCGATCGCAGCGTTGCGAATCGCGCTCTCAGATCGCTTGTCTTCACAAATTTGATTGGTTCTTGACTCTGAAGGCGGGTGTGCATTACGGACGTGTAAACTAAACAAATCTTGCGATGCTAATGATATTGAAAAACAAACACACATCAAGATACAGTTTTATGAGGAAAAACTTACCATAAACTTCACCCTGGTGCCAATAAATTCCCACAAAGCTTTTTAGTAATCACTTGGTGAAAGTGTTAGCTAACATCAGTGTGTAGCATACTCTCCTCTCATTGGTCAGTCAATGAAACCCTCGCTGATCGGTTGTACGCTAAGCGACAGCGACAAAAGTTGAACATTTTTCAACTTTCATATGTCGCGTCGCAAGCTCACGAGCGTGAAATTTCACATGCACTATTTTCGCCGGTCGCTTAGCTGGAGGAGGGCGAGCGATTGTCGCCTCACCRCACAGGCTCCATAGGAAATGAATGGAGAGCGAGCGACGTCGCCTCCCGTGTGTCGAGCCCTTTGCAGTAAATATATGCCAGCAGGGAGTATTTTTTTAATTAATTTATTTCCTGGAGATCATCTCAGGACCCCCCAAACTGGTGTTTTGTGACCCATGCTGATCGAGCTGATTAACTTGTATTCATCTTCAAACACTAAAAGAAAAAATTGTTATTTGAAAAACAGGCAAGGTTTTTTGATACTCACAGCTGTGTAGTGTTGATCAATGTGGTCCCAGAGTACAGACAAATCCAGTGTTCACAGGGGTCACAAAAAAAGGGAAAAAACAGCACAAAAACACATGAAAGAAAGAAAATCAATATCAGGTCATCTGACTAACTATTCTGTCTCTAGGTTCTGTTTCCTGAGCCAAAGAAGCCCGGGGCAAGTGTATTCACGATCCAAACAGCGATAACAACAGGCCCGGTTTGCAAAAAGAAAATGCTTCTTAGCCAGAGCATCTTCTGCCTGCCAACAGCAACCCACATGTTTTGTGTGATTCTAGGATTTGATATGCAGATTTGCCTACAGGATGGGTTTCAGTAGTGGCACACAGCACACCGAATGTTTCAGCTTGTGGGGAGAAAATATTGTGAAATAAGTAACAACCCGTTATTAGTCATCGTATTAGCTGTCATTATCAAATTTCCTTTCCGGCTGTGTCTGAGAGGTTTACTAGAGGAAGTGGAGGTACCAGTTTTGTGTGTTTCACATGCACATTTAGGATGACCAAAACTGGTGCCTCAGCTGGAACAAAGAAAATGGGTGCAGTGTGTCCTAACTTAGCAGACACAATCTGGAGCAAAAGAACTGGAGTCAAAGCATGAACCATCAGGTGCTAGATCCACTGTAATCCAGATTAGATGGCAGCTGTAACCTCCTTATGTCTAACCTGACATCCTCCAGGTCTGCCTGTATTAAATGTTCAAGTAAAAAAACACTTTACACCCAAAAGCATTTTAATTAAACCCTAATATATTTCTACCTAAAATTGGATAATTTCTGTAGAAACTCACAACAGATCTATTATTGTTTCCTGTTGATTTCTCCGTAACTTTAGCTTTAAAAAAAAAGCTAGGTATCGCTAAAAATGTTGCTATTTTAGAATATTTCAAACCTACAGCGGTGTATAATCGCAACTGGAGATTGATTTACTCTGTTGGGGCTGTTTAAAAAAAGATACAAGCCTTTTCTGAATTACTTTGTTAGCGAGTAAAAGACAGGAAATGACACTCCCGTTAGGCTATGCAGCCTGTTAGCAAAGCGAAGCTAACAGCCAGCTAGCAGCCCATCCAACTGGAGGCGGACTGGGCGTTGGTTGCTCCGACAACTGCTCAAGCTAAACAAATTGTTCGAATAGTGCAACCGATTCTAAGTCAAATTATCACCACCATGATATAAAACGAGATTTTCCGATAAGTTGTAAGAAGAGCTGACAGCGGCAGTCTCACCCATAACGTTAACGCTTTCCTGCCGCCTCAAACACCGATCATTCACGAGCCGACATTCCCCCCTTTCTCACTCGGGCTCGAGCTACGCACAATGATTTACGCAAGGGACCACGCATGTGGCATACGCACGACAAAAATTTAACGTAAAGAGTACGAGAATACCAGTGGGGGGGAGGAACATGCAGTCTCGCGATAGCTTCAGATTTCTTTGAGAGTCGATGTGGTATCGCGAGAATCACAAACGCAGTGAGTCAATGTCAAAACAATTCTTTAAAATATAAATGATAATTTCACTTCTAATATAGTTTCTTTAAMTGCGGAATTTGTTCACGTACTATTACAATTTAGTTCAAGTGTTGACATTCCTTGTGTGATTAATTTATATTTAGTAACAGGGTGATATAGTTATATATAATATTTAATTTATCTTTCGGATTTTACTTTTGTGACAGATCGCCCCGTACCATTCAAATAATTAAAAGTTAAATATCAAGATAAGAAGGTCAAGAAGACAGCAGGAAGCGTCTGYTGTATCCATAGGAACCGAGACTGCYGCATCGCTCACTTTTATTGTTATAAAAGTGAAGAAAAAACARCATTTCTTAATGTTTTCTGTTCCTGGAGAGAAGATATGTCGCCCTGATATTTTAGATACAACGGGTTTTGTTTGCAAATTAACTCTTTAATGGTATTCTGCAAGTGAAGGTAAGTTTACTTTTGGCCAAAACGTAAATAAGCTAGAAACATTACCTGATGAGTGTTGTAAAACAGCTAGCTAAAATAGCTTAAATATAAACTAGAAAAACAGCATTTTCTGCGAAAATATTCCGACTGGTAAATTATCTTTGCTGAAATTTCCCAAAGAAGCTGAAACTCAGCTAAAAAAAGGACAGAACTCTAGCTAAAGCCAAAAGTGGCAAAAAAAAAAAAAACTAGTTAGCAGCAAAAAGGCTAGCTAAAAGCTAATAACAACAAAAGCTAACTGCAACCTAAAAGTATCAAAAGTATAATTTGCTAAAATTAGTATAGCTAAATATTTAAGAGTCAAATACTAGTCAGAAGCTAAAAGTAGAAAAAGGCAGAATAAAAGCTGAAAGTAGCAAAAGGCTAGCCTAAAACTAAAATTAGTAAAAGGCTAAATACAATTTTTATTTAGAAGCTAAATACTGAGTGAAAACTGAAAGTAGCGTAAGGTTAGCTTGAAGCTGAAAATAGCAAAATGTAGCTAAAAGCTACTACCAAAAATAGCTGAAAGTAACAAAAGGCTAGCTTAAGGCTAAAATTAGTGAAAGGCTAGCTAAAAGATTTATGTATCAAAATACCAGACAGAATCTAAAAGCAGCAAAAAGGCTAGCTAAAAGCTAATAATAACAAAAGCTAACTGCAATCTAAAAGTATCAAAAGTRTAGTTTGCTAAAATTAGTATAGCTAAATATTTAAGAGCCAAATACTAGTCCGAAGCTAAAAGTAGAAAAGGGCAGAATAAAAGCTGAAAGTAGCAAAAGGCTAGCCTAAAGCTAAAATTAGTAGAAGGCTAAATTTTTTTTTATTTAAAAGCTAACTACTGAGTGAAAGCTGAAAGTAGTGTAAGGTTAGCTTGAAGCTGAAAATAACAAAATGTAGCTAAAAGCTACTACCAAAAATAGCTGAAAGTAGCAAAGGCTAGCTTAAGGCTAAAATTAGTGTAAGGCTAGCTAAAAGATTTATGTAGCAAAATACCAGACAGAATCTAAGTTTGCTAAAATTAGTATTGCTAAAWGTTTAAGAGCCAAATACTAGTCAGAAGCTATAAGTAGAAAARGGCAGAATAAAAGCTGAAAGTAACAAAAGGCTAGCCTAAAGCTAAAATTAGTAAAAGGCTACATATTTTTTTATTTAGAAGCTAAATACTGGGTGAAAACTGAAAGTAGCGTAAGGTTAGCTTGAAGCTGAAAATAACAAAATGTAGCTAAAAGCTACCAAAAATAGCTGAAAATAGTTTAAGGCTAAAATTAGTGAAAGGCTAGCTAAAAGATTTATGTATYAAAATACCAGACAGAATCTAAAAGTAGCAAAAGGCTGGCTAAAAAAGTAACAGAAGGTTAACCTGAAGCTGAAATTAGTAGCATGGTAGCTTAAAACCACAAGTAGCAACAATCTAGGTAAAAGTARCAAAATCCCAGCTAAAGGTTAATAGAAGTAAAAGACTAGTTAAAAAGTAAAAAAAAGAAGTCTAGTTAAAGTATCAAATGGTTAATCAAAAGTGTTCGTTAGCTAGAAGCTAATGTTGCAGAAGGCTAGCTTGAAGCTAAAAGTAGCAGAATGTTAGCTAAAGCTACATGAGCAAAAGCCAAAAAGCCCAAAGTAGCAAAAGCAGAGCAAGTATGATGAAACAGATAAAAAACATAAAGTTAAATGTTTTGAAAAGTATAAAAGTTSTAAAATTCAAATGTTGTAGCAGCCATCTCCTTAATGAGCTGAACGTTTTGATCTATAAATGATTAAAACTGTACAACATGTGTAGAAGGACAGAAAGAAAATGAAAAACAGTAAAACAATAGTCTTTTAATCAGTGTTCATGCACACAATAACATGCCTACATTTTCCACAGGTGCCTGATGGAAGCAAACATAAACAATAAAAATGTCCAACTTGGTTAAAAAAGTGAACCCAGAAGAAAAACCACCTCTGAAACCCACAAGAATCCAGGCCAAGTAAGTCAGTCTGTCTCCTCATGTTCTGTCCCACCGTTTCATGTTTTTCTCGCTGACATGATGAAAATAAATCACGTGTGGAGTCTGTGTTCCAGGGCTTCGTATGACCTCAGCAGGCTCCAGTCCCTGCTTGCCAGGAGCAGCTCCAGGCAGGAGGTGAAAAACGGCGCACGATAACACCGCGCTGCGCTCTGGCTGCTTGTCTAGACACACATTTCGATAACATATCTGCTCACATTTCTCCAGTCTGTTGGGTTTGTTGATGCTTTCCGTGTGACAGGTGTCAACATTGAGTCATAGCCGAGCAGGCAGCAGCAGAGCCAGCAGGTTTTCTCCAAAACGCACCTGCAGGCAGAGGAGTGGGAGCGACGTCAGCACCGAAGCATCCCAACTGGATAAATTCAGGTTTATCCGTTTAACAGGTTTTTCTGTTGATGATGTATGAGGCTCTACCTGAAACTTGATCTGAGTGGATAAGGAAAACAAAGTGCCTCTGAAGAGTCAAGTCAGCAGATTAAGCTAAATTAGCCAATCCAGTTGTTAGTGAATAAAACTAGAGAAATTGCCTTTCCTGCAAAAACGCTAGCGTGAGTGCTTCATGCTGAAAACCTAAGCTAAAAGCTGCTGAAATTGAGCTGAAGATATTTAATGGGAAAAGTGTTAATGTGAGCTCACTTTGAAAAGCTGAAAGAAACAAAAAAGCCTAACTTTGCAGAAAAACAGTAAAAGGAGCACAAATCTAGTTGAAAACAGAAAACAGCTAAAAACTAAGTGCTAAAATAGCTGAATAAAGCTGTAAACATCTGTAAGAAACATAAATGGCTCTAGGTTGCAGAAAAAAAACATAAAAAGTAGAAAAAAGCAGAAGAATAAGAGGAAGAAGCAGATCTATAGCTAAAGTAGCACAAAATAGCAGAAATTAGCATAAAACAAGCTAAAGGTAGCAGAGCACCCAGATAGAGAAAGGGTTGTAAAAATTTGTATAAATAGCAGAAAAAAATGCATACAAGTACAAAAAAGTGATTTTTTTGTAGTAAAATGACTAAAACAGCTGAAAATTTCAGAAAAACAGCCAAAAAGTAACTGAAATTTTTGTAATTAGCATAAGGAAGCATAAGGAGCACAAGTTTGTTGAACATAGCTGAAAAAAATTGTAATAACTACAAAAAATGTGTATTTAGCTTAGAAAAGCTAACTTTAGCTAATAGCAGCTAAATATTAACTAAAATTCCAGCAAATTAAAATGACTAAAACAACTGAAATTTTCAGTAAAACAGCTAAAAAGTAACTGTAATTTTTGTAATTAATATAAGGAGCACAAGTTTTTTGAACTTTGCTGAAAAAAGTTGTAATAGTTACAAAAAAACGTGTATTTAGCTTAGAAAAGCTAACTTTAGCTAATAGCAGCTAAACATTAGCTAAAATTCCAGCAAATAGCTGAATGTAGCAGAAAACATCTGTAAGAAGCATAAACAGTTCTAAGTAGTAGAAAAAAGCCATAAAAAAGTAGAAAAAGCAGAAGAATAGCAGAAAGAAGCAGAATTTTAGCTGAAAATTGCTAAAATTAGCAAATAATTAGCTAAAATTAGCACAAAAACACGAAAAAGAGCAGAACCAGAACAAAATGTAAGGTGCTGTAAAGATGTAGAAACATTTTAAAGGGTTTAAAGAATGTTGCAAACAGCTCCATTCATTTTCAATGGCAAAAAAGTGGCTAAAAAAGTGAAACAGCTAAAAAAAGTATAAAAAGCTGAAATACCAAAAGTCATAGCACCTCTCACATAAATGAGCTGAATGTTTTGATACATGAATTGTTAAAAATTCACTATAATTGTGGAAAGAGTTAGATGCTGAAAAACATACAGAAGAAAAAATGATCTCAGTAGTGTGAATGATTGTGAAGAATTTACACAACAAAAATGGTTCTGAATCTGTTTTTATGCTATAATAATAGGCTATAAAACTTTATTTAAAGATATTAGCTGAGCTGTGGGAACACTCCTCACTTTTTACCATAATTTATGAATTATTAAATTAATTGTAAAACCAACTAAACGTGGTGTTTTTATAAAAATCTTTCTTTTCCAGCACAACTTACAGAGACCACAGGAGCTTCAGCAGCCACCCTATGAGTAAACTCTTCTTAGACATTCTTACATCTTTAGTCAAGAATCGACTCTGCAGGTAAATTATCCTCAAGCTTTTCTCCTTTTTTCAATAACAAATAAAACAAATTAATTTTTGTTTCTGTAAAAAGTGAATGGATCGACTTCGCTCCACCCGAGGCGGTCCTTAAAGTTCTCGTCTGCCTCCGGTTATTGATCAGAGATCCCAACTATCAGGTATGAGCTGATAAAAATACATATTTTAAAATGTTTATTGTATTAAAATAAATATTGGCTTTTTTTTTGTATTTTTAGAAAGTTTTTCATCAGCTTCAAGGCATCGGTTTACTCGCCAGGGTACATACATTTGATTTGTTTTATACGCTAAAAACAAAAATCAGATCTATATTATATAACTGTTTATTTGTTTGTGTTTGTGTTTGTGTGCAGTACATGGAGTCTGCCTCCGTCACGTTCATGTCCTGTGGCGAGCAGCTTGTCACGATGACCTGTGAGTAATCTGCAGGCTGCATCTTCTTCTTTTATCATCCTCCTCCGTCTCACTCTGTCCTCTGTGTCCTCTGTCCTCACTCCAACCGTGTCCTCTCTGACTGCATCCATACAGTATATCTCCTCTTCTTCTTTTCACAGACATGTTTCAGAAGCTGTCCTCTGCTGAAAACCAAAGGGTCTGGGTCATCGAGAGCGGTGCTCACAGGGTGAGTTCTKATGGTTCCGTTATTCCCTTAACATCTCTTTTTATTATTGCTTATGAAAATCAAACATATAATCAAATTAAAAGGCCTATAATTCCTTGAAAGAATGCATATCACACTCCAACGAGAACTGACTGTTGTGGTACAAGCGTGACGCCATATTGGAAGGGGCAGGCTGTTAGTGTAAAACATTTCATCATGACTACATAGTTTTTCATTGGTTAGTTTTTTACTATTTGAAACATTCATTGCAGACGGATGATAATTCTGACAAGCTAATCAAATCTAAATTGCAAACTGAGTTTCGTTGATGTGCTGAGCTAAATTTAACATGACCACATTCAGCTTTACCGGCTAACTGTTGAGCTGTCCTGGCCTTGACCAATATGGCCGCCCTCTTCGACCATGAAAAGTCACATGGCAGCACCTCTAGATGATATACCTCATTACTGCAACACATGCTGCGTGTTTTACTGACTCTGTAGCAGCAGACTGACAGAAACATACTAACCTTGTATCAGAGATGTCCTAATCCTGAAGGAAAATGTCAAATGTTTATAGACTCTGGTGAAGCTCCTCTCTACAACAGACAGCAGTGTTTTACACGGAGCCCTGCTYGCTCTCACTGCCTTGGCTGAGAGGTGAGTAGATTTTTTTTAAATAAAGCATTAAACACAAACATTGTGTAACGTGTTGCAGCATCTTTTTTCTGTCTTCAGCCCAGAGTCCAGGGAAGAGATTGGGGAGCTGCAGATTGTGGAGAGCCTCCTTATAATCCTGCAGGATTATGATCTGCTGTCAAAGAGGTTAGAAATCATATTTGTCCATTTTCTCTCTGATCCAAAGTGTTTTAGTTATGAGTCTGGATACATTTAGCTTTTAGCTAGCATTTGGCTTCTCTGGAATTTATCTAGCCTTTTACTGTTTTTATTTATCGTTTTATATTTTCAATGTTTAACCTGACTTTTGATACTTTTAACTAGCAATTTACAACTTTAACTAAACTTTGGCAGTCTTTTTAGCTAACATTTTGCTAGCTTTAGCTTTTAACTTTTGACCTTTAGGTAGAATTTAACTTTAATTGCTTTAAGTATGTATTTTGTTACTTTAGGCTTTTAGCTCGAGTTTTCCTACTTTAGTTTTAATCCAGGCTTTTGCTACATTTTGTTAAACATTTGTTAAATATAGCTTTTTATCAATCCTTTTAGCTGTTCTTTTTGTACTATTTTGCTTTTTTTTAGCTAGACTTTTTAACTAGCATGTTTTTCAGCTCGCTTTTTGTTACATGTAGCTTTGAGCTAGCCTTTTGCTTATTTAAACAAGCCCTTTGCTACAAGTATTTTTTAGCTAGGTTTTTGCTACATTTAGCCTTTAGATAGCAATTTTGCTACTTTTAGTTATCCTTTTGTTACTTTCAGCTATTAAGCTATGCTTTCATGCTTTTAGCTTGTAGTTATTGGTTTGCTTCTTTTATTTTTTAGCTATACCGCCTTTGCTACTCTAATCTTTGCTACATTTTGATTCTTTAAAATAGCTCATTTGTTACATTTATTGTTTAGCATTTAGCTTTTAGCTAACCTTTATGTTACCCTTTTGTTCCTTCAGCTTTAAGCTATGTTGTGATGCTTTTCGATGCTAGTTATCATTTTCCTTCTTTTATCTTTTAGCTAGCCTTTTGCTAGTTAAATCTGCTGCATGTACTTTAACAGCTACATTTAGCTTAGCTCGCCTTTTACTTCTTTAATCTAGCACTTGTCCATGTTTATTGTTTAGCTACCCTTACCAAAAAGAAGTATACTTTTAAGTAAATGTTGTTAAGTATACTAAAGTATATAAAAGTGTACATCTCTAAGTGTACTTTTATTTCCCAAGTACACAGACATAAGTATACTAGCAGTTTACTTACAAATATACTTTTTGAGACTAAATTGGCCCAGTTTAAGTTTATGAAGTATACTCAGGATTATACTAAAATTAAACTTATAGATATACTATTAGGTTACTTACAATAAACTTTAAGTCTACATCCAGTTTATCAAAGTACACTTTAATGTATACTAAAAGTATACTATTAGGTTACTTGTAATAAGCTTTAAGTCTATATTTAGTATTGTAGCGTGTTCAGAGTTAGATTGTTACCGTATCATTTCTAGAGTTGTACATTTTCATAAAACAGCTTGGGAATGAGATGTTCACGCGAGTTTTACRTGAGAGAGGAGGAGCTAGGTGGAGATAAAAAAAGAGAGAGAGTGTCTTTTTTTGCTGTGGTGTGTGTGTGGGGTTTTTGGGCTCTCTGTACGGCGTGGCTGYGGCCTACAGCAGCTCCTAAATAAAAGTGGTTCTTGAGTTATCAAAGGCTCATCTTGACATACATTTTCACGCACAACTAGAAAGCGTTACAGTATTATCAAAGTACACTTGAATGTATACTGAAAGTATTCTTCTAGTTATACTATTAGTTTACTAATAATAAACTTTTAAGTAAACTTTTAGTTTATCAAAGTACACTTGAATAGATACTGAAAGTACAGTTTTAAGTATACTTCAAATAACCTAGTTATACTCCTACTCCACTTTTAATGCTGCATAAAAATATTGGAAATATGTGACAAAAATATACGTTTAACTTGTAGCTGARCTTTTGCTTCTTTTAACTAGCTCTTTGCTACATTTGTGTTTTAGGTGGCGTTTTGCTTTGTTGAGCTCTAACAGCTCAGTTTCAGCTTCTTCAGCAGTTCTGTAGCATTTACTGAGTTTAGTTTTAGCTGCTGCTTGAAAAAGGACAGAGTGTTAGGATTGATCTGGATCAGACGTTTCTGGACCTAAACCTGACGTTTCCTCCAGGATGAGCGCCGAGCTGCTGAGGCTCCTGTCTCCGGTCCGACCCGTCAGGCTCCAGTTGAAGGAGCTGGAGGGGGTACCGGTTCTGCTGAGCCTCCTGCACGGCCGGAACCTGCAGCTGCTGTGGAGCGTCACCTGGGTCCTGGTTCAGCTCTGCGAGGATCCCGACACCAGGGCGGAGATCCAGAGCTGGGGGGGAGCGCAGCAGCTCCTCCGGCTGCTCAGTAGGTAGGTTCTGATGTTACCGAGAGATAAATGTTCTAAACACAGCTTAAAGAYATATTTTTATCAGGCTGTGGCGTTCTGTGGTAAAGTCATGAACAGTTTGAGTCTTTATGTGTTTTTAGTGAAAAAAAGCAACAACAAAGAGACCTTTTGTTACAATCTTGTTTATTTCCAAGAATTAAAGCAGCAGAAAGAGCTTGTCACTGAAAGAGACACCAAAACAAGCTGTGTGTTGTTTGATCCTGTCCAATCAAACAAAAAACTCTTCAAGCCGGGACTTAGATGCCTTCTGGTCACATTTCTGAAGAGGCGGTGTTAAACTTTAAATCTGCCCGACAGACAAACTAAAGAGCAAAGTAATCAGCTGCTGTCTTAAAACAGCTTTTTCACTGATGCTAACATCTCATTTTAATCATTTCTCATATAATCATTTTAACTGTCAAATGAAGACTGTAAAAATACTGTAGGATGTTTAGTTTTGTAATTTTTAAAAAATATATTTTAACACAGACAGAGACATTTTGTTTACACACAAAGCATTCTGGGTAAATGATGACGTGGATAGGTCCTCGGTGCGAGGCTGCTAGCGAGCTATATCCACCCTGAAGGTTAATCTTTGACAATATCTGATGATTGACTCTTTTAAATGAAACCAGAGAGCGTTGACAGAGAGGAGAAGGTAGAAATGACTCAGCCTGGAACTGAAAATATGGATGGAGGACAACAGAGCTGCTTCATGGAAGAAGAACCTCAGCTTAGCCTGTTAGCCTTTGCACTAGCGCCGATGCTATATTGCCTTAAATGTATTAGCTCGGTGCTAGCGCGACAAACAAGCTAAACTGAGGTCCTCCATCCATATTTTCAGTTCCAGGCTGAGTCATTTCTACCTTCTCCTCTCTGTCAACGCTCTCTGGTTTCATTTAAAAGAGTCGATCATCAGATATTGTCCAAGATTAACCTTCAGGGTGGATATAGCTCGCTAGCAGCCTCGCACTGAGGACCTATCCACGTCATCGTTTACCCAGAATGCTTTGTGTGTAAATAAAATGGCCCCGTCCGTGTAATATATTTTTAAACTTTTAGTTTAAAAATTTACAAAATTAAACAGCCTACAGTATTTTTACATTCTTTATTTTACCGTTAAAATATGGTTATTAAATAAAGTCTAATGTTACAACTAATCAGGGATCCCTTTAAATATTGTTACGTTTTATTTATTTCTTCTTGACGCTCTTAGTTTGAAGTTTTGCTGCTAAAGATGCTACATGCTACGGGCACGGTGCCTGACACGACCAGCGCTGCTTTTAAGAGGGGATATTTTTTATTCAATTATAAATAAACGGCATAAAATTGAAGGTTTTACACTTTTTTGTGAATTTAAAATTAACTGGAACATAATTTAGTGAACGGTTTCCAAATTTCGCAAAAATGCTGATCTGCTAAATGAGATGCTAGTTTGGCTATTATCAGGTTAGCAGAACTGCTTATTTGCAGACTTAAATAGAGGCAGTTGCAGGTAGCTGTAGCACTTCTGTTTCAGCCTGGAGCTCTTTAATGCAAAGCTTCTGATTTCACTTTGATCCTTGACGTGTTAGACTGTTAGTTTTTAGTTATAATTAGTTTGAAAATGTGTTTTTTTAATTAAAGTTGATGCTTCGATCGCCCTCCTGTCTTCTGAATCACACCTCTCTCTCGTTTCACGTATAACGTTCTGTAAAAAAATGAAGTTCCTTTTGGGTCATTTTAAAATCTAATTTCAACATCAGCAGTATTTATCACAAATGATCTGACTCTGCCAGCGACAGGCGGTACGTCTCCGATCGCTCGGCCGCCCAGGGGTCCTGCGACGCCGGCGCCTCCTCTCACGTCCCGAGGGAGCAGACGACCGAGGAGCTCGTCCCACTCGAGGAGAACCGGAAGGTTTTGGCCCTGCAGTCAGGTCAGGAGCTACGTTACACACAGAAAGATAATTCTCCCCTCACTGCAGATAGTTCTTATCTCGGAATGTAAAACAGTTCTTTCCTGAAGCGAGGCGCTCTGAAACTCCACAGCTCCACAGGAAGTGGTTGTAAACTTCCTGTGGTTGAGGACATAATGAGGCTGGAATAAATAAAACTACAAAACTGGACCTGAAAGTACACACAGATACACACAAAACCTTTAAAAAAATACAAATTTTACATTTCTGAGAGATTTATAGGACATCTTGAAAGGCTAGTGATCATGTGGGTGTGTTAGCAAAATATCTCATGAACTACTTCCCAGATTTTTACTAACCTCCCAGAAAGTGATGGTTTGACGCTCATCAACAACTGAATACTTTTCAGGGTCAAGTTGATTCAGAGTGGCAGCTTCTTGAGACACAAATGTCTCATTCCTTGACGTTTTCCATTCGTTTGTCTCCAGCCTGCTGCACAGCTCTGACCGAGCTGAGTTTGGACGACACGTCCGCTCATCACATCGTACAGGTGAATTATTTCTAGTAATTAAATCATCATAACAGCTCCTTTAACTTATTGTTAATCGTGACCTTTTCTGTTCAGGAGAACGGGATCTATATCGTCTCAAAGTTAATTTTACAACAAAGCTGTGAACCAAAGGTCCCCTCCATACAGGTAGACGCTTTACGTAAAAAAACAGAAGTGAAGAATAAATGTTTGATGAGAACATGAAAGGTTTGTTGATGTTTTCTGGCAGTGCTACGCGTTCCGCACCCTCCGGTTTCTCTTCAGCGTCGAAAGAAACAGACACCTGTTTAAAAGGTAACGGACACTTTTTGTTTCCAGGTTTCTGATAAAAATGCACTTCCTGTTTTATTTTGAAAATCACATTTCCTCGTTTCTTTTATATTTCTGATTTATAGACTTTTTTTATTTTTCATTTTTTTGACCGTTTCTATGCTTTTTTAAAATTGTTGGTCAAATTTTCCATTATGCTGCAAAGTTTGTTTTTTTATTTTAAAATTTCAACATTTTCCTCCATTATAATAAATAAATAAAATAAAATAAATAACTTGTTCAGAATTCTGTTAAGTTTATTCCCAGCTGGATTTTTACCCTACAAAAGGATTTTATAATATTTTATCTTGTTCAGACTCTTCCCCACAGACCTCTTTGAGCTGTTCATTGATGTTGGACATTATGTTCGAGACCTCGCCRCCTACGAGGGTCTGCAGACCAGAGTTTCCCTGTACACCGTAAGATGAAGCCTCTGGTGTTGTTTGGTTGCTCCACTTTATTTTAAAATAAAATTTATTAGGCAAACCATTCGAAAACTCAAATTATGAGTGGCGTGTTTTCATCGCAGGAAGAAGAGCTGGACCGTCTGAGAGAGAGCGTGGAGGCTCTGGATCAGAACCAGCCTCCGCTCAGACTCATCCACGGTTATGCCGTGCTGGACCACCTGGGCACCGGAGCCTTCGGCAGCGTCTTCAAGGTAAAACACCCGGTTTGTGTCGGCTTTATCAGCTGGTTTACGCTGTCGGTGTCTCTGTGAGGCAGGTCCGGAAACAGAGCGGGCAGAACCTCCTGGCTCTGAAGGAGGTGGACCTGCACAACCCGGCGTTCGGCAAAGACAAGAAGTCCAGAGACAGCAACGTGGAGAAAATCATCTCTGAGCTCACCATCATCAAAGAACAGGCAACCGGAATCATTTCACATTAAAACCTTTCTTTGTGACCGTTTCCTGTGTTTTTATCGTTTCTTTTCTTTTCTAGATGACTCATCCAAACGTCGTTAAATATTACAAAACATTTTTAGAGGGTGAAAAGCTTTACATCGTGATGGAGCTGATCGAGGGAGCGCCGCTCGCTCAGCATTTTAATTCTCTGAAGGAGAAGCAGCAGCGGTTCACTGAAGACAGAATCTGGAACATTTTCATTCAGGTAAAGTTCTTCTTCTTCTTCTACATCGTTTAACACCTGAAATAAGAGCATTTTCCCCTCCTCAGATGTGTCTGGCCCTGAGGTATTTGCACAAGGAGAAGAGGATCGTCCACCGTGACCTGTCACCCAACAACATCATGCTGGGAGAGAAGGATAAAGTCACCATCAGTGAGTCGGGACAAACGTCTCCGTTCGTGTCTCCTTCACGTCTTCTCGGGCGTGAAGAGATAAACCCGTTTCCTTCTGTTCCCCTCCCCCGAAGCCGACTTCGGCCTCGCCAAGCAGAAACGGGAGAACAGCGAGCTGATGTCGGTGGTCGGCACCATCCTGTACTCCTGGTGAGGAAATTTATCTGAGCCTTTAGCGATTTAGCGATAGCCGACTCTGAAACAGAATCAAATGTTGGAGGTTCGTTGGTTTTCTGGATCTTCTTTTGTGAGGAATAAATCTGATTATTACTAAGGGATAAAAAAGAAAAACAATTCTGACAGTGTATAATAAACATTTAGGGTAAATGTGTTAAACTCAAGGCACGTTGGCTAAATGTGGCTCACTACTGTATGTTATGTGGCCCGCAGAGCTTCAAAGACATCTTAAAATAAGCTGCTTTAAAGGAGACGTCATGCATACACTTCAAATACAAAAGGTCAAAGAAAACATCTTTATATTTAAGAAAGTTGGAACAATACACTCGATCTAACCCATTTTGTCCCATAACTGGCATATTTTCTTTTGAACTTGGCTCAGCCAAAGTGAAACAGGAAGTAACATCAAAGGGAACTCTTTAAAGAAAACTCTCTGGTCTTTGTTTATTAAAACAATATTATTTAAACTTTAACTCTTCATCTCTCTGATAGAGACTCAAAATAATCTAAAGAAGGATCAGATTCTTCTCCACAGTCTGGGTTATTAGCTGTTGTAGCAACGCTCTGTTTACATGCAGACATTCCCCTTTGACATCACTTCCTGTTACTTCACAGGCAAATATCTCAACAGCTGTTCATCTCAACAATGTGAAATTTCTTTTGCATTATTTCATCAATGTCCTAAAAATACATTCAAATGTGTTACAAACATGTGACGTCACAGGCACTTTAAATCCTTCAAGAGGTCTGTATAAAGTGGAACTGAAACAAGCCCCGCCCCTTTTCTGAGGCGTGTCTCAGGTCAAGATGTCATCAAGGAAAGACTTGTCCATCAGCCTTGTTGGAGCCAGAGGAGAATGAAGAAAATGACGATTGTTGTTGTCTAATAACTTCTTATAAAATTAGTATACTTATAATAATGGAGTCAGATCCATAAAGTACCTGTGACGTGCATATCCTTCAAATATACATGTCGAAGAAAATATCTTTATATGCAAGAAACTTGGCATGATACACATGATTTTACTCATCTTATCACATACCTGGCAGACTTTCCTTTTAAATTTGTGTGAAACAGGAAGTGACATCAAAGGGGAACTCTTTAAAAAAATAAAACTTTCTGGTCTTTGTCTATTAAAACAATATTATTTGAACTCTGACTCTTGAAATAATCTAAAAACAACATCAGATTCTTCTCTACGGTCTGTTGTCAGTCATTGTAGCAATGCTTTGATTACATAAAGATGTTCCCCTTTGACATCACTTCCTGTTTCTTCACATGCAGATATCTCAACAACTGTTTATCTCAGTCACATGAAAATTTTTTTGCAACATGGTATTAAACGTTAACTTTCAAAAAATGCATTCATATTTGTAAAAAAAATTAATGTCACAGGCATTTTAACATCATTTCCTGTCAAGAGTTTCAGGTGAAACTAAATTTAATTTGTTGCTGTTAAAGGTTCCCGGATGATGATTTATTTTACATGTAATGGTTGTCGGTCTGTGTGTGTTTGTGTGTATTTGTGTTGGTAGTCCAGAGGTGGTCAAAAATGAGCCGTACGGGGAGAAAGCCGACATCTGGGCTTTGGGATGTGTCCTGTACCAGATGAGCACTTTAGAGCCTCCGTTCTACAGCAGCAACATGTTGTCTCTGGCCAGCAAGGTGACGCTTTTAATTTGAAAAGACGAGGCTTCTGCCGTCAGGGTCTGACGTTGTCCTCCCACTGACAGATCGTGGAAGGCGTCTACAGGCCGGTTGAAGAGGGGACCTTCTCGGAAAGAGTCACAGACATGATCAGATGGTGAGCTGAGGATCTGCGCCGCCTGCCGCCGCAGCTCGCTCAACTTTCACCCGCCTCTCCGTCAGGTGTTTGAGTCCAGATCCAGACCAGAGGCCTGACATCGGCGCCGTCAGCTCCAGGATCTCCGACATCATGATGAGGCTGATGGACAGACTCTACACCTCCCAGAATGCACTGCAGCGGAGGGCCGACCGGGACAGGAAACGGGCTCAGCAGTACTTCCTGGAAAGGAACAACAGCAGGATGAGCTGCTGTCAATCAAAGCAGGTGAGCTCAGACTAAAGCTGCTGTATAAAGTTTTTACAGCTGTTTTTTTTTTAATGGTTGAATATTTACAGGAAAATCATCTGCTGATGTCTGACTCTGTGGATCACAGCTCCTCTGCAGCCGGCACCTTAAAGGATGGTGAAGATCTGATTCTCTTTATTACAATGTTATAAAACCAGTGAAGATGAGGAGAGATCACATCATTTTATCATGTTGTTTTACAGAGTTTTAGTTTTAAAATCTAACACTTTCATTTGTCTTGGTTCAGGCTATAAATTTTGTGCTTAAAGTTTGGAACGTTAATTTTTTTTAATCAACGATGCAGAATTTATATAATTTAAAATTTGTTTTTTTATGCCACATCTTATTCTGGACATGTTTACCATTAAAGTAAATTCTCCCTCCCTCTTTTGCTACGTTTTTAGACAGTCTTCTGCCACCTGTAACTAGCCTTTTCTACTTTAGATTTTTAGTTACTGTTTTGACACTTTTAACTAAGTTAGCCTTTTGTCACTTGTAGCTTTTTATTTGCAATTTTGTTACTTTAACTTTTAGCTACCCTATTAGTACATTTTGTTTTTAGCTAACCTGCTACTTTTAGCTATCGTTTGCTTCATTTTGCTTTTCGTTATGATTTTACTTTAGCTTTTCAATAAATTGCTTGTACTATTAGCTTTTAGCTAATGTTTTGCTACTTTTAGCAACCTATTTGCTACACTCAGCTTTTAGCTATGATCATGTTGCTGTAGCATGTAACTACTGTTGGCGCTCTAAGCTTTTGATATTTTTGACTAGCTTTTTTTTGCTTTTACCTTTGATTTTGTTACTTTAGCTTTTTAATTAATCATTTGGTATTCTTAGCATTTAGCTAAATTTCTGCTACTTCTAGCATTTAGCTTTAATTTGTTACTTTAGCTTTCAACAACTGTTGGTACTCTTAGCCTTTGGCTAACATTTTGCTACTTTTAGCTAGCTTTTTGTTACTTATAGCTTTAAGCATTTGTTTTGTTTAGTTTTTAACAACCTTTTTGATACTTTTAGCGAGGCTTTTGCTGCTTATACCTTCTAGTTAGCAATTTGATACAATTACGTTTCAGCTATCGTTTAGCTACTTTTAGCATTTATCTTGTATACTGCTTTTTAGTCTAAAGTCCTGCTTGTTTTAGTTTAACTTCTTCAGCAGAATTCCACAAAAAAAGAAAACAATTTCTTTGGTTTTATTTATTTATCAATTTATTAGAAGGGTTGGAGTCAGACGTCACACCTGAGCACTCTGCTGACAGGTGAGAAAACTGAACGATCAGAATCATCCGACGCATCCTTCAGCTACAGTTTAGTTTTTCCAGTTTTATAAATCTGTTGACCCACTTCTTTCACTTCCTCTTTACCTCAGTGAGGATTTTTCGGCTTCAAAGATGAAACCCAGACCAGGTACTTCCTCAACATCAAAGCCATTTATGAATATAAGAGTATTTGTTAGATGTGTTGTCTCATGTTTTTCCCTCGGTGTCAGTTGGGATCTGCGTGTCCCAGAAGAAGCTTCGACAGATTGAAGATCCCGTCCAGAAGCTGCTGAAGCAGCTGCACAAGCTCCTCTTCATCACTCAGGTTCAGACTCAGTTTCCTTTGACGCCGCGGTCAGAGACGCATCGAAGACTGAAAATATAAAACGTAATTAACCCGTTTAATCTCCAGCTTCCCCCGGCGGCGCACCACAGCATCAGACGGCGCCTCGTGGAGCGATTCAAGAGGTCCCTCTTCCAACGCGGCAGCGATCCGTCCCACCTGAAGGTGGAGCTCAGTAAGGTTAGAGCTTAAAACATTTGATGAAAAAATACATCAACAACAAAACACAAAACAACCAGAAACTTGTGACGTAGCTTGTTCTGTACTTACTAGGTACACAATCAATAAGTAGCAGTACTTACCTGATACTTATGGAGTGAATATTCGATTCTTACCTGGTACATACCTCGTAGTTACCTTATACTTACCATATATGCCAGGGGTGCCCAAACATTTTCCCCAAGGGGGCCAAAATGAAAATCTATCCACGGCTGCGGGCCAAGTGCAGTTATATAATACATGAAATACAAATATTTTTTTAAGTAAAGTCCTTTTATTTTTAACAATCAAGCTATGCAATGGCCCTCTTTTGTTTTAGTCTGTGCACTTGGAGAAAGTCTGCCATACGCTCAARTAGTAAAGGCTCAAGGAACATTTCATAAATTGATAAAATATGAGTTTTTGTGGCCTTATAAAGTGTGAAAATCTACATGTGGGGTTAAATCTGATCTAAATATTTCTTGTCAATTCATGTTTCATGTTTAATCCTAATAAATCAAAGATAAAGTCAGCACCATGAAAGGAAACTACCTTCACTACAGCCCTTTTATTTAGTCATTTGACCAATGGAAATACTGTGTTTCTACATAGGATAACAGGTTACAACCTTGTAACTTTGGCAACTGTTGGTGGGCAAATCAATTGGCTTGGCGGGCCAAATTTGGCCCGCGGGCCCCACTTTGGGCTCCTCTGATATATGCTTACTGGAAATATACCACAAACTTATCAGGTACTGGTTAAGTACCCAGTTAATTACTAGGAAAGTACTAAGTAAGTACTAAATTTAAACCAATCAAGTAGTCATTATTTACCAGGTAAGTACTCAGTACATACCCAGTAAGGGCCAGTTAGTACATGTTAAGTACAAAGTATTTACCAGCTGTGTACTAGATTAGTATGATTGCACACCTGGTATTTAACGCAAATGTATGGTCAAATAATTAGAATGTACATGGTAAATACCTGGTACGCATCCGTAAAATCCTAGTACTTAAACCAGGTAAGTACCAAGTATGTACCCAATAGGAACCAGCTAATAAGTAACATGTAAGTACCATAAATACCTGGGAAGTACCAGATAAGAACAAACCAGGTATGCACCATGTATTTATCCAATAAGTAGTGGGTAGTTTTCTGGTAATTCCAGGTAAGTACTGTGTATAAATTTACTTTTCTATTTTATGTTTTGCCTCGGTGATAAACAGCATCGTTTAAACTTGTGAAACTTTTACTGAAACGACCAGAAAAACTGTTCTGACACCAAAAGTTTCCAAATGTCACAAAATCTGAAGTGAAACCATCAGTTATATTTATAAATATATTTATATTTAAATATATTTATAAATATATTTTTACATTTATAAAACTTTACACGTTTGAACACAGACGTGTTTCAGTCTCAGCGTCTTGTTAACTCTGTCTCTTCAGCTCCTGCAGGCGTCTCCAGATCTGATGGAGTTGAACCCAGGTGGGTCGGACCACTGGGCTCAGGTGCAGAACTTCAGCGGGGACCGTGGTTCTGCTGAGGGAACAGGTAGAGGCGACTAAACCGGGTCGTAAAACAGAACCGATCCCACAGAAACTGAACACAGAACACTGACGCCGCAAATTAACCCTGATGGTTAAAAGACTTTTTTATTTTCTGACAGCTGCAGAGAATCTCAGAGACGGAGTTACGTATCAGCAGCTGCAGGTCAGAATCTCACAGCTGAATATTTTTATTATTTCAAATTTATTAATTAAAACAAACAATAACAGCAAGAAAAACTGGATTTTATTTGAAAACACTGAGAGCTGAAAACTGCTGAAATTATCTGAAGAAGCTTAGCCGAAGAAGCAGAACACTAGCTAAAAGCTAAAAATAACCAAATGATAGCTAGAAGCTGAAAATGGCAATAAACTAGCTAACAGCTAAAAGCAACAGAGTGCTAGTTTAAAGCATGAAAAGGTAAAACCCAAAGGTTTCAAAAGGCTAGCTAAAGTTGAAGTGTAAAACGCTAGCTTAAAGAACAATTGTAGCTACGAACTAAATGTAACAAACCGCTAGCTAAAAGCTTAACTTTTGGCCAAATTAAACTTTAGCCTTTAGCTAAGTATCAAAAAACTAGCTAAAAGCTGAAGTGGAAGAGGATAGCTTAAAGCTAAAAGTAAAAAAACTAGCTAAAAGTAGCAAAAAGCTAACTAAAGGCTAAAGCTTTAAAAGGCTAGCTAAACACTTACGTATCAGGCCAGCTAAAAGTTGAAGTGGTGAGAGGCTAGCTTAAATCTAAAAGTAGATTAATACGAGCTAGGAGCCAAAAGTAACAATTCACTAGATAAAAGTAGCAAAAGCATAGATCAACGTATGAAACGACTAGCTAAAAACTTAAGTAAAGTATCGTAATGCTAGCTATTAGCTAAATTATCAAGAGTCTTGTTAAAATTGAAAAGTAGCTAAAGCTAGCTAAAAGTACCAATGGCAAAAGCTTCAAAAAGCTAGCTAAAAACTAAAGTATCATAAGGCTTTAAGTGCCAAAGTGACAAGAAGCTAGTTTAAAACAAAAAATATCACAATGGTAGCTAGAAGCTAAAAGTTACAAACTACTAGCTAAAAGTAGAAAAAGCTTAAATGGCAAAATGCTAGCTTTAAACTAATGTATTAAAATGTTAGCTAATAACTAAATTATCAAGAAGTTTGTTAAAAGTGAGAAGTAGTACAAAGGTATCTGAAAGCTAAGCTAGCTAAAGGCTGCAAAATTATCAAATGCCAGCACAGAGCTAAAGGTAACACAGAGGTAACAAAGTTCTGTAGCTAAAAGCGGCATTAGCTAAAGTAAGTGTTATAGAAGCTAAAAGCTTAAGTGGCAAAATGCCAGCTGAAAGCTAACGTATCAAAAGTCCAGCTGAAGATATTCAGTTTAAAAAGTGTTGTATGTTTTCATATTTGCTGAAATGTAGCTGAATGTTGTGTTATTTTAAGTTTATAAACGTGTTTCCTCCTGCTGGATGAAGAATCAAACTTTTTCTCRATTATCAGTGATGAAATGTTTCTTTTCAGGTGATCATCGAGGAGCTCCTGCAGGAGAACAGTTACTATGAAGCTTCACACAGCAGGTGAAATTAGCTTACAGCTACTATTCAGATCAGATCCATTTGTTTGATTCAGAATCATCATGAATTTGTTTGTTTTGTGTTTTATTTCAGGTCCAATGAGAAACTGAACGAGTCTGAACAGAAATGACTGTTTCCTGTTCTCGTGTTGCCTTCCAAGTTTCCCCGGAAATTTCAATTCCCAAATCGGAAGCGGCTGGTTTTTCTGCCAGGCCAGGCTAGTTTTTAATAAACAGAAGTTTTTCATATATTTAACAAACAAAGGTCGCAGACAGAGTTTGGACAGAGCTGAACTCAGAAGTGCTGAAAACTCGTTTTATTATCTCAGGTCACGAGTTACTTCCTGTTTAAAGGCCAGACTCAGGTTAGAGACGATAAAGTTCATCTAACGCTGTGGAGGATTTCAGTCCAGTTAAATCTTACTAAAGGTGAAACCTAAAAGCAAAAAACACTATAAATGTATAAAAAACATGCATTTGTTTGCACCTAATCTAAGAGTTTATATAAATTATTATTTAATGCACAATGCAACTGTTTTTTCAAAGCAGAGTGTAAATCTGTGAGCTCTGTACCGCTGATTTCTGTTTTGGTTTTATGTCGTGGAACCCTGACAGTTTGACGCTTCGCTGCAGAGCAGGTGATTGTGAACCCAGACCACAGTTTCCTCCACAACACCGTGAGAAAAACCTTCAGCTTTAATTCTGCACATCAGAGTCAGACTGCAGGAGAGACGAACCTTCAACCAGGTCGCTTCGTCAGCCTTTTCTGCTCTGTTTACCTATGTTTTTTTCCCAAAATACTTTTCTTTCTGCACATAAAAAGTGATTTTCTGTCTAAAACCAAATAAATTATTGTTGCAGCTTTTGAGACAATTTTGTTTTAAACTTTATAGAACAGATTTAGAGGAAGTGTGCAAAGTCAGATTTATTTGTTCTAGTGACTGAAATAAAAAATACAACATGCTCCATCCATCCAACCATCCAACCATCCATCCAACCATCCAACCATCCATCCAACCATCCATCCATCCAACCAACCATCCATCCATTCATCCATCCATCCAACCATCCATCCGTCCATCCATCATCCAACCATCTATCCATCCATCCATCCAACCATCCATCCAACCATCTATTCATCCAACCATTTATCTATCCATCCATCCAACCATCCATTCATCCATCCAACCATCTATCCATCCAACCATCCATCCAACCATCTATCCATCCATCCAACCATCTATCCATCCATCCATCCAACCATCCATCATCCAACCATCTATCCATCCAACCATCTATCTTTCCATCATCCAACCATCCATCCATCCATCCAACCATCCATCCAACCATCTATCCATCCAACCATCTATCCATCCATCCAACCATCTATCCATCCATCCATCCAACCATCTATCCATCCAACCATCTATCCATCCATCCAACCATCTATCCATCCATCCATCCA